AGTGGAGTGTACTGTGTGGGGTCCAGGCCCAGTGGGGTGTGCGGTGTGGGACCCAGGCCCAGTGGGGTGTGCGGTGTGGGGCCCAGGCCCAGTGGGGTGTGCTGTGTGGGGCCCAGGCCCAGAGGGTCACAGGTACGGGGCACTCTTTGGTGCCTGGGCCACAGGGATCTGCACCCCCACTCCGTGCCCCCACGTCTTCAGCAGCGGATGGGGCCTGTGCTCCCAATCCCAGGCCAGCCAGGTACTCGGAGGTCTGGGTGGGTTCCTGGTCCAGACAGTGGGAAGGGCTGGCGAGGGGCTCCAGTGTGGCTGGGCTGCCTGTCTACGGCCAGGTTTCTCTCCTGGATTGCTCAGTGCAGAATCAAAGGGCACTTTTCTGCTTTTGTGTGCAGAAGCCGAGGCTGACCTTGTCATCAGAAGGGGAAGCGGGGCCTCCTACGCGTGCTGCTGGCTCCTATCCCCACAGCCTCTTGGGCAGGAAGTGGAAAGGCCCTATCCCCATGGTCCCCGGCAGCGGGAGCTCCCTGAGGCTGATGGTGTTGGTGTCTGTTGAGGAAGACCAGGCCTGAGGATCTGAGGTGGGAGGCCAGCTACGGTCCGCAGCCTGGATGGATTCCTGCGCGGGGCTGGGGCAGTAGGTAGGCATCTGTGCTGGCCATGTTAGCTCCCGGGGCCCCATGCCGTCAGGGCTAAAACCTGGGCCTTGATTTCCTGAACTTTTTTGGGAGGCACCCCAGGGGCAAGATAAGGACCCATGAACAGGGCACTTCTTCAAAGCCTACGTACACCTTGAAACTCTTGCAACATTTGCATTTTTCTCCCTAATAGTCCAGTGTTTGTTTTATTATAAACGGGAAAATTTAAATATTGTAGTTAGACTTTTTTTCTTCTTCTTACAGACAAGGTTTCACTCTGTCTCCTAAGGCTGGTGTGCAGTGGTGCCAGCATAGCTCACTGCAGCCTCGACCTCCTGGGCTCAAGCGATCTTCCTGCCTCAGCCTCCTGAGTAGCTGGAACTACAGGCACGCGTCACCAGTCCAGCTAATTATTATTATTATTATTATTTTTTTTTGGTAGAGACGGGGTGTCCCTATGATACCCAGGTTGTTCTTAAACTTCTGGCCTCAAGTGATCCTCCTGTCTCAGTCTCCCAAAGTGTTAGGATTACAGGCGTGAGCCACTGTGCCTGGTCTGCAGTTAAACATTCCCCCACAGCCACACTGAGGCTAGTAGGCAAGTTACAGCCCTGGGTATGTGTGACCTGACAGCCCCTTGGCAGCCATGGGGAGGGATCTGGGAAGCTGGGGCAACGGGAAGGGGCCCAGGCCCACGAGCTCTTGTGTCCTCACCTCCCACCAGGCAGGGTTCCAGGTTACTCAAGATGAGGCAGCGAAGGAATCGCCCTCTAGCCATGCAGGCCCCTCCCCTCGCCAGGTCTGCACCCTGCCCAGGGCTGGCCCTGGACTTTTGGTGGATTTGAGAGCTCAGGTGGGGAGAGTAGGAGGTCAGTCGCACGGAGCCCTCCCCAACGCACAGCGCCTGCCCAGCTCAGGTACCTCTGAGGTGTAGATTCTGAGCAGGTTCTGGGATCTCCTGGTCCCCAGCGGGGGCTGCGGCAGGAGCACAGGACCGACAGGAAGGGAAGATCCCAGCGGTTGGTTCCAGTGGGTTCTGGGGACGTCCTCGGAGCCTGGCCTTGCTCAGGGTCCCTACAAAGATCCCTGGAAGCGGGGCAAGGTGTTGCTCATGAATCAGAGAGAAAGCAAGCAGGACCCTCAAGAAGGGAGGAGAGACCCTCGGGCGGGCGCGCAGCGCTTCGCACTCGGGGAAAGGGCTCCTGCCGTACTTCACTGGAGGTGGGAACTAAGGAGACGGAATGAAGTCAGAGGGCAGGATGTTTCTGTTTTTGGCTGAAACCTGTACCCTGTGTCCCTCATGGACTGGGGACCTGGAGTTCCCGGGGGCCACCGTGGGGGAAAGGCATCCCCAGCAGCTGCAGTCACGGGGTTTGGGCGCTCTCCCCTCTCCTGATTTGGGGGAACTTGTGTGCTCCTCTAGGCAGAGGGAGGAGCAAGGCCGTTGGCTGTGGACTGAGTCCTTCCCACCTTCCATAGCAGCCCAGCAGGAAGCCACTGAGGGATGCCCCACAGGACAGCCTGGTGGTAGGGGGAGAGTCTTCTCCCACCCCCACCCCTCCAGGCTCTTCCTGGACCCACTGAGGAGCCCGGGCAGTGGGACGTGTGGCTGTGAGTCCCGGACTCTGGGCACTCACCAGCAGCTCCGTCTCACACCTGCCTGTGTGCAACACCAGTACCCCTTATGATGAGGGAACGAGTTTGCCCAGCTGCAGGGGTGGCCGAGTCAGGATGACTCCAGCCCATGTCCAGGACACCAGACTCTGCCCAAGTCCATCCGGGGCTGATCTCAGCCTTCCTGGGCTATGTTGTGGAGGGTGTTGGGGACAGTGAGAGGCTGGCATGGACAGCGGAGGAGTGGCTTTGTGAGTGGTCCTGATAGTGATTGAGAGGAGGATACTCAGTTCCACCCCTGGGCGGCTCCTGAGCAGCACAGCCAGGGCCTGGAGGGGCAGGGCTGCCCTCATGGGCTCTGACCCCTGGGAGCTCAAGGGGTGGACCCCATATCCCAAATGTGGGACTGGAATGGGGACTCAGGCTGATCCAGGCAGGACCTCCAGAGTTCAGGACTGGGTGGTGAGCTCACAGGGAGGGAGGGGCAGGCCAGAGTCCCAGCTGTCCTGGACTCTGCTGTGGGGAAGGGCCGATGCAGGTGTGGAGTCAAATGTGGGCACCTCTTGCAGCCAGGTCCCGGGAGGGGTGGAGGGGCCACCCTGGGCTTTGTCTGGGAGCCTGGTCTTCCCATCCTTAGACTGACAGGTGCTGCTGCCTCTGAACCCTCCCTGCTGAGAGCTGTGCTGGGTGAAGCTGGCGGCCCTTTGTTCCCTGTCCAGGATTTGCGTTCTGGAGGGTAGGGCTTGCTGGGTTGGGGACTGGAGGGGGACGTGGAGCTCCTTCTGCCTCCCTTCCTGCCCCATGACAGCAGGCAGGTCCCAGGACAGAAGGGCTCAGGAGATAGGAAGAGGATCCGTCCAGGGGTTAGACCTCGAGGGTGACTTGGAGTTCTTTACGGTATCCATGCTTTCTTTGAGGAGTTTTGTGTTTGTGGATGTGAGGCCGAGGTGGGCGGAGTGGGGGCAGTGCCTCGCTCCTCCCGCTCGCCCTCTGCTGACCTCCAGCTCCCTCTGCAACCCCAGGACCATGAACGGCACCTACAACACCTGTGGCTCCAGCGACCTCACCTGGCCCCCGACGATCAAGCTGGGCTTCTACGCCTACTTGGGCATCCTGCTGGTGCTGGGCCTGCTGCTCAACAGCCTGGCGCTCTGGGTGTTCTGCTGCCGCATGCAGCGGTGGACGGAGACCCGCATCTACATGACCAACCTGGCGGTGGCCGACCTCTGCCTGCTGTGTGCCTTGCCCTTCGTGCTGCACTCCCTGCAGGACACCTCGGACACGCCACTGTGCCAGCTCTCCCAGGGCATCTACCTGACCAACAGGTACATGAGCATCAGCCTGGTCACGGCCATTGCCGTGGACCGCTACGTGGCCGTGCGGCACCCCCTGCGCGCCCGTTGGCTGCGGTCCCCCAGGCAGGCTGCGGCCGTGTGCGCGGTCCTCTGGGTGCTGGTCATCGGCTCCCTGGTGGCTCGCTGGTTCCTGGGCATGCAGGAGGGTGGTTTCTGCTTCAGGAGTACCCGGCACAATTTCAGCTCCATGGCCTTCCCGCTGCTGGGATTCTACCTGCCACTGGCCGTGGTGGTCTTCTGCTCCCTGAAGGTGGTGACTGCTCTGGCCCAGAGGCCACCCATTGATGTGGGGCAGGCAGAGGCCAGCCACAAGGCTGCCCGTATGGTCTGGGCCAACCTCGTGGTGTTTGTGGTCTGCTTCCTGCCCCTGCACGTGGGGTTGACGGTGCGCCTCGCTGTGGGCTGGAACACCTGTGCCTTCATGGAGATGCTCCGTCGTACCCTCTTCATAACCAGCAAGCTCTCAGATGCCAACTGCTGCCTGGACGCCATCTGCTACTACTACATGGCCAAGGAGTTCCAGGAGGCGTCTGCATTGGCCGTGGTTCCCAGTGCCAAGGCCCATAAAAGCCAGGCCTCTCTGTGTGTGACCCTGGCCTAGGAGGCATGCAGAGAGCGCTGTGGGCCAGGTCTTGGGGGCTCCGGGAGGTGCTGCCTGTCAGGGGAAGGTGGGACCAGTAGCAAGGAGCCTGGGATCAGCCCTGAACTCACTGTGAGCTCTCTTGGAGCCTTGGGTGGGCAGGCATGGCCCAGGTACCTGCTCTCTTGGGAAGAGAGAGGGACAGAGACAAGGGCAAGAGGACTGAGACCAGAGTAAGGCCAATGTCAGAGACCCCCAGGATGTGGCCTCACACTTGCCACCCCCAAAACCAGCTCACCAGGCCAAAGTGAGTTCCTGCTGGCTAGGGTGCAGCCTTGAGGACACCTGCTGCCACCCCTCGGGGCTGGAATAAAACTCCCCACCCAGAGTCAGTCCTGGTGGGGCCCTCTGTGTTGCCCACTCATGTGATGAGAGGCGGGGAGGGAGTGCGTGGCTCAGAGGGCCAGTGGACATCTTCCAGGGACCCTTTGGGGCTCTTCACTCTGAGGCCCCCTTGGACCCTTTGACACTTTCCCACCCCCACCATCTGAAGCGTGAGCAGGGGCTGTTGGAAGCTCCTGGCAGGACCTCACTAGAGGCCCCTAGCCCAGGTTTCCTTGCTCAAGGAAGGGCTGGGAGTGGCTTATCTCCATGTAGGAGCTGCACAGTGGTGCAAGGAGGGGGGACCAAAGTCAAGCAGGTGAGGGTGGATTGGGGTGGGTGGCAGTGAAGGGGTGGCCAGGATCTGCCAGGGGACCCAGCCCTCTTCTCCTTCCTTCAGGGAAAGGCTGGAAACCATGTCTGGCAGGGGTAGGGCTTGGGTGCCCACCCAGGTAAAGGCGGGATGTCCTGCGGGTTTCTGACTTTCCTGTACTTCTGCGTGGAGGGCATCTCGAACCCCAAGCTGGAAGGACGGGGCACTCCAGAGACCTCCTGCGCGTGTGGGCCAGCATGGCCTGGGCTCAAACCCCATCCTGTCATCCCATATTGCATGTCAACAGGCACCACTCCACCCTGTTCCACGTTCCACAGGACTGGAGAGAAATGGCAGTCATGTTGTGGCAGGGACATGGCACAAGCATGCAGCCGATGGCATCTCACAGGACCCCAGGCTCTGGAGAGCCCATACCCAGGAGAGCCCCATAAGGGCCCCGTGCCTAAAAGGGTGCATCCCAGGTGGGCCCATGCTCAGGAGGGTCCATGTTTAGGAGGCTTCTGTGCCCAGGAAGGTCCATGCCCAGGAGGGTCTGTGAGCAGGAGGGCCCCACTGTCAGGAGGGTCCTGTGCCCAGGAGGGTTCTGTGCTCAAAAGGGTCCCATGTCCAGGAGGGTTCATATCCAAGGGTGTCCATACCTAGTGGGGGGTCTATGTCCAGGAGGGTCCCATGCCCGGGAGGGTCCATGCTTAGGAGGGTTTATGCCCAGGAGAGTTTATGCCCAGTAGGGCCCCATGCCCAGGAGGATCACGTGCACAGAGGGCCCTGTGCCCAGGAGGATACATGTCCAGGAGGTTCCACGCCCAGGAGGCTCCATGTCAAGAAAGATTCATGCCTAGGAGCGTTCATGTCCAGGAGTGTCTCTGCCTAGGAAGGTCCATGACCAGAAGGGCCCATGTCAAAGAGGGTTCATGCCCAGGAAGGTCCAGCCCAGGAGGGCCCATGTCCAGGAGGGGTCCATGCTGAGGCGGGTCCCTGCCCAGGAGGGTTCGTGTCCAGAAAGGTCCATGCCTAGGAGGGTCCATACACAACAGAGCCCTGTGCCCAGGAAGGACTATGTCCAGGAGAACCCCATGCCCAGGAAGGTCCATGTCCAGTAAGGGCCATGCCCATGAAAGCCTCATGCCTCATGCCTAGGAAGGCCCATGCCCAGGAGGGCCCATGCCCAGGCCAGTTAATGCCCAGGAAGGTTTATGCCCAGGAGGGTTCCATGCCTAAAAGTGTCCATGCCCAGAAAGGTCCATGTCCAGAAGAGTCCATACTCAGGAGGGCTGATATGGTTAGGTTTTGTGTCCCCACCCAAATCTCATCTTGAATTGTAATCCCTATAATAACCATAGTGCCCCTGTATCAAGGGAGAGACCAGGTGGAGGCAATTGGATCATGGGAGCTGTTTCCCACATGCTGTGGGAATGTGGGAAATACATGTGGAAAATAATGAGTGAGTTCTCATGAGATCTGATGATTTTATAAGGGGCTCTTCCCCCTTCACTTGGCACTTCTCCTTCCTGCTGTCTTGTGAAGAAAGTTCCTTGCTTCCCCTTCAACTTCTGCTGATTGTAAGTTTTCAGAGGCATCCCTAGCCATACTGAACTGTGAGTCAGTTAAACCTTTTTCCTTTAAAATTACCCAGTCTTAGGCAGTTCTTTATATCAGTATGAAAACAATGAAAACAGACGAATGCAGCAAATTGGTACCACAGAGAGTGGGGTGCTGCTGTAAACATACCCAAAAATGTGGAAGCAAATTTGGAACTGGGTAATAGTCAGAGGTTGGAACAGTTTGGAGGGCTCAGAAGACAGAAAGATGTGGGAAAGTATGGAACTTCCTAGAGACTTGTTGGATGGCTTTGATCAAAAAGCTGATAGTGATATGGACAATGAATTCCAGGCTGAGGTGGTCTCAGATGGAGATGAGGAATTTGCTGGAAACTGGAATAAAGGTGATTCTTGCTGTGCTTTAGCAAAGCGATTGGCAGCATTTTGCCCCTGCCTTAGACATCTGTGGAACTTTGAATGTGAGAGAGATGATTTAGGGTATCTGGCAGAAGAAATTTCTAAGCATAAAGCATTCGAGAATGCTCTTAAAAGCATTCAATTTTATGCATTCACAAAGAGATGATTTGGAATTGGAACTCACATTTAAAAGGGAAGCAGAGCATAAAAGTTTAGAAAATGCGCATCCTGACTATGGGATAGAAAAGAAAAACCCATTTTCTGAGGAGAAATTCAAGCCAGCTGCAGAAATTTGCATAAGTAACTAGGAGTCACATGTTAATAGCATAGACAATGAGGGAAATGTCTCCACGGAATGTCAGAGGTCTTCACAGCAACCCCACCCATCACAGGCCTGGAGGCTTAGGAGGAAAAAATGGTTTTGTGGGTGGGGCCCAGGGCCTTGCTGCTTTGTGCAGTCTCAGGACTTGGTGCCCCACATCCCAGCAGTGGTTAAAAGGGACCAATGTACAGCTTAGACCTTTGCTTCAGAAGGTGCAAGCCCCAAGCCTTGGTGGCTTACATGTGGTATTGGACCTGCAGAAGTTTGCTGCACTGGTGGAACCCTCATGTAGAACCTCTGCTAGGGCAGTGTAGAAGTGATACATGGGGTTGGAGCCCCCACACACAGTCCCCACTGGGGCACTGCCTACTGCTTGTGGAACTATGAGAAGAAGGCCACTATCCTCCAGACCCCAGAATGGTAGATCCACTGATGACTTGAACCATGCACCTGGAAAAGCCACAGACACAACACCAGCCTGTGGAGGCAGTTGGAAGGGATGCTGTACCCTGTGAAACAATAAAGGTGGAGCTGCCCAAGGTCATGGGAGCCCACCTCTTGCGTGAGCCTGACTTGGATGTGAGACGTGGAGTCAAAAGAGATCATTTTGGAGCTTTAAGTTTTGACTGCCCACCTGGATTTCAGACTTGCATGGGGCCTGTGGCCCCTTGATTTTGGCCAATTTATCCCATTTGGAATGGGTATATTTACCTAATTGCCTGTACCTCCACTGTATCTAGGATGTAACTAACTTGCTTTTGATTTTACAGATTTGTAGGCAGAAGGGACTTACCTTGTCTCAGATGACACTTTGGTCTTGGACTTTTGGGTTAATACTGGAATGAATTAAGACTTTGGGGGACTCTTGGGAAGGCATGACTGGTTTTGAAATGTAAAAGAGACATGAGATTTGGAAGGGGCTAGGGGTAGAATGGTGTAATTAGGCTTTGTGTCCCCGCCCAAATCTCATCTTGAATTACAGTCCCCACATGTCAAGGGAGAGACCAGGTGCAGGTAACTGAATCATGGGAGCAGTCTCCCCCATGCTATTCTCATGATAGAGTTCTCATGAAATCTGACAGTTTTATAAGGGACTCTTTCCCATTGGCTTGCCACATCTTCTTGCTGCCTTGTGAAGAGGGTGCCTTGCTTCCCCTTCGCCTTCCACCACGATTATAAGTTTCCTGAGACCTCCCCAGCCATGCTGAACTGTGAGTCAGTTAACTCTTTCATTTATAAACTACCCAGTCTCGGGCAGTTCTTTATAGCAGTATGAAAACAGAATAATACAGGGGCCCATGCCCAGGAGGGTCCATGCCCAGGAGGGTCCATGCCTGGGGGTCCCTCCCAGGAGGGTCCATGTCCAGGGGTCCCTGCCCAGGAAGGTTCATGCCCAGGAGGACCCATGCCCAGTAAAGTCATGTTCAGGAGGATCTATTCACAGGAGAGTTCATGCCCTGGAGCATCCATATCCAGGAGGGGTCTGTGCCCAGGATGGTCCATGCCAACCAAGGAAGATCAATGCCCAGGATGACCCATGCTCAGTAGGGTCTATGTCCAGGAGGATCCATACCCAGGAGGGGCCATACCCAGGAGGGCCTACACCCAGGAGACCCCATGCCCAGGAGACTCCATGCCCAGGAGGGTCCATACCCAGGAAAGTCCATGTCTGGGGGCCAGGAGGGCTCATGCCCACAAGGACCCATGCCCAGTAGTGTTCACAAGGGCCTAGTCACAGGAGGGTCCACATACAAAAGAGCCCTGTACCCAGAAGGGCCTATGCCCAAGAGGATCCATGACCAGGAGAGTCTATGACCAGTAGGGTACATGCCAACCAAAGATGGTCCATGCCAACCAAGGAGAGTCCATCCCCAGGAGGGTCCATGCCCAGGAGTGTCCATATCCAGGAGCATCCATATCCAGGAGAACCCATTCCCAGAAGGGTCCATGCCCTTGGAGGGTCCATGTCCAGGAGGTCCCATGCCCAGTACTGTCCATATCCAGGAGGACCCATGCACAGTAGGGTCCATGTCCAGGAGGGCCCAGGCCCAGGAGGGTCCTATGTCCAGGAAGACCCATATTTAGTAGGGTCCATGCCCAGGAGGGCCCATTCCTAGGAGGGCCTATGCCCAGGAGAGCCCATATCCAGAAGTGTTTATGCCCAGGAGGGCTTGCACTCTATAGGGCCCTGTGCTCAGGAGGGCCCATGCCCAGGAGGCCCTGTGCTCAGCTGGGCTCTACCTACTTTAATGCAACACTGTCCTGAGCTTCCTGATTTTTCAGAGGCCCTGGGTTCTTGTTTTGTGCAGCCTGCATTTCCTCTGGCCTGCAGGGGTATCTCAGGACTGGGCAGTGTGGTCCCCATTCCAGAGGCTCTAGAGGCCTCTGTCCCCCTCTGCCTTCAG